TGGTTTGGCAGCTGCCGCGACCCACGTGCCAAAGTCAGAAACGCAATTTATTTTCTCAGCCTCCGATTCCAGGCTGAGAGCTGTCCTTCCGAGACCCTGACTGACGGCTGGTACTCCTGAGGATGGAGAGAGGTGGCTGGGGGAGCGATGGAGGTCTGCTGGGACCTCAGGTTCCTCGTGGATGGATCCTCATCGCCTGGAAATTGTGCTGTCCTCCACCCCTGCTTTTGCAGCTGGTGCGGACGCCTCCACTACCGCTTTTTAAACTAAACGAAGATTGTTATTGTGAGTTTTGCAAGACACTACCCATACTAGTAGTGCATTTCTGAGGCACAGTTCGGTGGCAGGAAGACACTGAGACACTCACTGTCTCAGGTATGACATTTGGAAACCAGCTCTTACATTTTCATAAATATCAGCCACATCAAGATCTAACTATTGGCTAGCACCTCGATGAAATACCTTGAAGGGATGCTACTGCCAGATAGCAGAGTCCCAAATTTAGGAGCAGCAGCTTATAAAAATAATTCCAGTGGTCTCATATTATCTTCTAATTTCATTTTAAGAAAAATACACAGTATTGAACAATATTATTTGCAACTCAAACATTACCTGTATTTTGACAGTGCAATGAAGATGCTGAGAAAGCAAAATTATGCTGTCTTAGTCTGTTTTCAGGGAATGCAAGCTGTTGCGTGAGACTATTTAACTGAAATAAATACTTATATAAAATACACTAATAATCCAGCTTTAAGACAGTCCCTTTGTTTTAGCAACCTGGGCCAAGACCTTTTGGGAAATGGTCCTTGAAGCTGATCGACTAAACCCGTCTAAGGCACCAAATACGTGGCTTGACATTCAAAAGAAAAGCTCCAAGTGACATACCCGAGAAACAATATTTTTAAACTATTTTGAACAGGTCTTAAATTAAAGTGATTTTTTTTTTTTTTTTACTGACGCAGGTGATAAATTGCTTTGCCTGATACATATCATTCTTCCCTGCCTCACAGAAATGATCAGATAAGCCTAAAACAAACATCCTCACAGAAAGCTTTAAATGTTATATTGTAATGATCAAGCTTGCTAATGTTCTCAATCATATGTATGCAAGCAAAAAATAAATATTTTACTTCTGAGGTCTACAAATAAGATTTAGAAAGCAAGTAATTTAAACCATGCCTTTATTAAAAGGAGGAAAAAAAGCTAGAGTTTACTAAGCCTTCGGTCTGCAGAATGGGAGACTAGCTTCAGGGAAAATGAGTACATTTTGCTAATAGCTGGATCCAATTTAAAAGGCGCCATGAGACAACAAATCTAAATCACTGAACAAAGGCAACATA